CTCCTGTGGAGAGAGTGGCTCCCGCCGAGACGAAGCACCCGGAGAACCTCCAGGCTCAGCACCGCCAGACGCCACACGAGCAGGCCCAGCTCCCTCAGGCTCCGCACCCCCAGGCTCAGCACCTCCAGGCGTAGCACCCCCAGGCTCAGCACCCCCAGGCATAGCACCCCCAGGCTCAGCACCCCCAGGCTCAGCACCCCCAGTAGTAGCACCCCCAGGCTCAGCACCCCCAGGCTCAGGACCCCCAGTAGTAGCACCCTCAGGCTCAGCACCCTCTGCAGCACCAGAGTCACCAGTAACCTCGACAGGCTCGACTGCGTCTACCTGGGACACACCTGAAGGGGCAGGACCCTGAGGGGGGAGGGGGTCTACCGGGGGGGGACCTGGTACAAGGAAGAGCGGTGGCGGGGGGAGGGACGGAGTGCGGTAGGGGAAGAGGCGGTAGTAGGGGACCGACTCGTCAAACGTGACGTCCTGGGAGGACAGAACACGGCGAGAGGTGGGGTGGTAGAACTGCCACCCTGGCGCGTCAGGGGGGAAGCCAAGGAAGACGCAAGGAGCAGCACGAGGGGACAGCTTGTCCGCAGACAAGTCGCGGACAAACGCCCGAGATCCCCAGACACGGAACGCAGACGCATCGCCAACCTTCCCCGTCCACAGCAAGGCTGGGGAGGTCTCCGGCATGGAGACCCTGGGGTGAAGGTTGATCTGATGCGCCGCGTACCGAACCGCAAACGGCCACAGAAAATGGGGGGCAGCCGCATGCATCATGGACGTACGGGCGACGTCCATGACCATGCCAATGCGGCGCTCAGCAATCCCATTTTGCTGTGGAGAGTCCGGAAGCGTGAAGGTCTGGCGGATGCCTCGTGCACGACAGTAGGCTCGCAGAAGGCCAGAGGAGAACTCTCCACCTCTGTCAGAGTGCAGACGCAGAACAGGAAAGTCCGAGCCGAAGCTCTGCCTGAGCTGGAGACGAGCTGCGCGGATCCAGTCGATCAACACCTCAGTGACATCACCCTTGCTGCGCAAGGGGAAGACTGTGGTGTAACGCGAGTAGTCGTCAACCACCAGCAGGAAGTAGCGCTCGTGACCCTGTCCACGGACGCGGGCCGGGCCCCACACGTCCATGTGAAGCGTCTGCAGCGGGGCCTCTGTCGGAGGAAACTGGGAGGAGTGAGGGGCAGCCCGCTGCCGCCCCTCGACACAGGGGACGCAGGTAGGGCCAGGCCCCGGAGGAAGGGGAGGGAGGGACCGGGGAAGACCAGAGACAAGGACACGGGAGGCCATGCCTCGGAGACGAAGCAGGGAGGGGTGACCAAGGCGGTGGTGCCAGAGGAGAGTCTCGTAAGACAGGAGGCGACACGAACAGGGGGCAGACTCAGGACCAGACCTGGACGCTGCAGCAAACACCTGACCTGACGCAGCTACCTGACCAGACGCAGTGACTGGAGGAGATGCAGTGGTCAGGGTGTACAGGCTCGACCCCGGCCGACGGGTAAACGTGGCCAGGTGTCGGCCAGTCCGAGCGTCCGTGCAGTGGGTCACCCGCTGACTCGCAGGAGTGAACTGGTGAACCCCCGCATCCTGTAGGTCAGCACCACTCACCAAGTTCGTAGAGAACGAGGGGAGGTAAAGACCAGACAGGGTGCCAGAGGGGGCCGCCGGACACGGGAGGACAGTGGAGAAGTGAGCAAGGACAGGACCCCCAGAGGGGTCTGCCAGAGAGACCGCAACTGGCCGGCCAAGCGGCGTGAGTGTGGTGCGGTCTCGAAAGAAGGAGCGAGAAGCCCCCGAGTCAAGGGTGAAGGTGTGGGAGGCCGAAGCCGACGCAGAACCTGAGAGAGCAGACTCACCAGCACCTGAGGGAGCAGACGCACCTAGAGCAGCAGCCTCGCTAGCACCTAGAGCAGCAGCCTCACCAGTACCTAGAGCAGCAGTCTCAGTGCCCGGGTCGGGCGAAAAACACCGGTAACAGTCACCCTCATCACTAATAGTCACAGTATACATGGCAGCAAGAATAGCATCAAAGTCAAGGTCAAAGACAGCGACACCCGCCCTAGACAGCTCACCCCAGCGGGGGATCTCAGTGGCCTCAGGGAACTGGTGACGCCAAGCGTCCGTCAGGCGGCCAAAGCAGCGCTGGGTGGAGTGCGCACCCCCGCACTGGTCACCCGCGCGGTCGCCGGTGCGGAGGACGTAGGTGCACGGACCAGTACCCCCACCCCGCTGGCGTGCAGCGTACCACTCACGGAGCTGCTGAGGGGGGGGGATGTCACGAGTGCGCTGCTGCTGCTGCTGCTGCTGCTGGCGCTGACCACCACCGGAGCCGACCCTCTGCGCAGCGCCACCCCGACCAGCTCCACCTCCTCCGCCGCCGCCTCCTCCACCGCCGCCACCTCCGCTTCCACCGCCACCGCCGCCGCCGCCTCCGCCTCCACCGCCGCCACCGACACCTCCACCCCCACCACCACCCCCACCGCCACCCCCACCCCCTCCACTGCCTCCACCGCCGCCTCCACCGCCCCCGCAGCTCCTCCAGTGCCCCTGCCCCCCTTGCCCTTGCCAGGGCGGCGTCTCCCGCTAGGGGTAGACGCCGCACCGACCGACTCAAGCCCAACGAGGTCGGCCGCAGCAGCAGAGGCAACAGAGGGCAAAAGGGGGGAGGGGGGACACCCCTCAAAGATGGGGGTGCGAGGGTCACCACGAGAGGCTCCTACAGCTACTATGCTCTTCTCTGCTGCTAGGAGGGACTTCTCGAGGAGGTCAACGGTGAGAGTGGTGGGGCAAACTGAGAAGAAGTGGTCCCTGACTACGGGAAGGGAGTCAGGGAGCCGGGTGACTATGTAGTAGAGGGTGATGTACATGGGGGGGGGGGTTCTTGGCGCAGAACTCAGCAGGAAGCGCAGCGCGGTAGCGAGTGTCACTAGTGCGGAGGTGCGTAATGAGGTCAGCGACTGTGGGAAAGGCAGCAAGGTCAGGGAAGAGGTACGGTAGCATGAGGCGGCTCAGTGCAGCAGTGGCAGGGGAGGAGTAGCGCGCAACTACAGCGTCGTACAAGGTCTGAGCACTCTTGTACTGGCTAAAGTGCGCACGCTCAGAGGTAGGCAGGTGGCGACGCACAGCAAGACGTGCAGCAGCATCGCGCGTGGCCCACTGTGAGCGAATAGTGGCGTCAGCATCAGCAGCGGGGGCAGGAGAGGCACCAGAAGTGAGGTCAAAGAGGGAGAGGCCGTCTGCTTTGTCGCACTGTAAGAAAAGCTGCAGGTCATCTATCCAGACGTCAAAGTCAATGGCCCGACCCTCAGCGTCAAAAGCGAGGACACTAGGGGTAGCCATGACAGCAGTAGACTAGCAGCGCAAACAGTAGGGTGAGGGCAGTGCTGTGAAAGAGGCGCTGCTCTTACCGGACAGGGCGGCTCGGGTGTTTCGGCTGCAGGGCGGCTCGGCGGCTCGGCTGCTGGGCGGCTCGGCGGCTCGGCTGCTGGGCGGCTCGGCGGCTCGGCTGCTGGGCGGCTCGGCGGCTCGGCTTCTGGGCGGCTCGGCGGCTGGGCGGCTCGGCTGCTGGGCGGCTCGGCTGCTGGGCGGCTCGGCGGGGCCGCTGAGAGGGCGGCGTCCGCAGGTAGGTGGCGGGGCCGCTGGTAGGTGGCGGGGCCGCAGGTAGGTGGCGGGGCCAGCACAGGTAGGTGGCGGGGCCGCGGGTAGGTGGCGGGGCCGCTGGTAGGTGGCGGGGCCGCAGGTAGGTGGCGGGGCCGCACAGGTAGGTGGCGGGGCCGCACAGGTAGGTGGCGGGGCCGCGGAGGGCGGCGACGAGCCGTAGGGGGCCGTGAGGGGGCCGTGGGAGGGGCCGGAAGGGGCGGCACGAGGGGCCGTAAGGGCGGCGCGACGGGCGCGACGGGCCGTAAGGGCGGCACGAAGGGCCGTAAGGGCGGCGCGAAGGGCCGTAGGGGCGGCGCGACGAGCCGTGAGAGGGCCGCTAAGGGCGACGCGACGGGGCCGTGAGGGGCCTAGCGAGGGCGCGACGGTAGGGAGAGCACACAGGGCGCGACTCGGGCCGGAGCAAAGCGCGCTCCGGGCAGGAAAAAAAAAAATTCGTGGTGGTGGGCCCTAGGAATCGTTCCTACTAGGGAACCTGCTCGATACCATGAGAAGAAACGAGGAATAAGAATGACTAAGGGAAAGTTGGGTACAAATGCAAACCCTAGGAAAACTGTACCCCATATGTGCTACCCCACTATAGCCTACAGTAGCTATGTCATATAAATCTGACAGCATATAACGGAGAAAGAAACTATCCAGGCAACAAGGTTGCCACCAAACCCAAGAATGAGCTTCAATACGAAGACAGAGCTGGGAAACGCGCCTCGTATTATGTTCTTGCATTTCTCTGCTGAGTGTGGGGACTGCGAAATGCTAGAACAGCAAGGAGCACAAACCATTTGTGTTACCAGATGCGAAACACTTTGTTTGGGTTCGTCAAATTAGCTGAGTTACCAGCCTTGCACCCAACGACGAACTCTAAATTCTGGCGTTGCGTAGCTACAATAATCGTGAAGCCTCTCGCCCTGCTTGGAGAATTATTCCCAGCGGGAACTGTACCCGAAACTGACTCCCCGAAAAGACGGAACAAAATGACGCCACTCCAAAACAATTATCATTGAGCCAATCGCCTCCCGAACCTTAGACTCACGCCGTTTTCGTCGCCATCGCCAACCAGTCAGTTCGCGAAGAGAACAGAATTATTGGTGGTTCTGAGGGCGAATTTCCAGTGCGCTTTCGATGAGAGGGAATTCACGAGGGCGACTCGAGCCGAGCAGCTCCATGCCTAGAACTTCCCAAAGTCCCGATACTTCCCGACTGACGCAACTATATCAATCTCCTGCTTCTTCACGATCATCATCTAAATCGATCATTGTCCTCCAAGCCTACAGTGTCTCTGATATTCAAGCCCCGTATTCACATCAGCAAGCTCCGATTCTTTCCCTCTTCTCCCTTTCTCCATGGCTCCCGTTTTCAACGTCTGCGGCTTACTCTGCGTGGGATTCGTTCTGCTGGCTCTCGTCCTCACTCCCGCCGATGCCATGTACGCCACGTCCGCTGATCTGAACCGCGAGGGAACGTGCTACCGCGGCCAATTCGACTACGGCGAGAGTTCGGATTTCGACTACGGCATGGTAGCGCAGGTGCCTTCGGACGATTTCAACAGCGGAAAGGGCTGCGGAAGGTGCTACGAAGTCTCCTGCATGAACCACCCGAGCTGCTTAGAGGGCAGCGTGCTGGTGCGCGTGGTCGGCCAAAACGGCGACTTCAACCTCAACTTCGCCGCGTGGGACAGAATCGTCGCCGACCGGGCTGCGGGGCGCGTGGAGATCGACTACCGCAGCGTGGACTGCCCTAGCAACGGCGGCCTGAAGGTCAGATTGGTCGACGATAGCAACTCGTACAACTTCGCGCTTCAGATTCTCGGCGCGGCGGGGAGCGGAGGCGTGGAGAACGTGGAGCTGTCGAACGACGGGTCGCAGTGGACGAGCATGACGACGTACGGATGGGGCGCCACGTGGGTGCTGAATCCCCATCGCGGAAAAGGGAAATTGCGATTTTGGGGGTCCGAAGGTTTTTCTGCAAAAAATGTGCGGTTTTGTTGCGCGAGGTATACAGAAAACGACGACCCCAAAAAGTAACTCTGAATACACCTTTTGCGAAAGCGAATATTGGCTCCAAAAGTTCACTCGAAAGTAACGTAAGCATCGCATATTTGGTTTCGAGCGGTCAAGATGGATTGAAAGCGGTTACATCTTTTGTTTGCTTTCACGAAAACTAACGAGAATGTGAGGGTGGATACAACAATTTCGTGAATACGAGTTTTGTTTTCCACACACTTGGACTGTACACGTGGTCACAACACATTCGCTTTCTTCAAAACCGCATCCCTACCACCAAACCTAAACCACACACGCACACCTGGTTGGTCCTAAAGGGTGACGAATGATCGCAAAAAAATCCCATTCAGCCAATCATTGTTGCTGTTGTGTCAAATCAGGGAATCACCACCATCTGGTATCTACACGTCAGCATGCTATACCTCCAACCCAAGCGAACTTCTTCCTCATCCTCCTCACACCTCTACTCCGCCCTTGCAAATACCTTTATCAACCTTCAGTTTACATATTTTCTGTTCACAACTTCATGTTCAATGTTCACCTAGTGCTTAGACTCCTATCGCTCACGTATCTCCTGGGGCACCATTAGTCAAGTTTGTATTCATTTCAATACAGAGGCCATGTTCAGATCAATTTCTTCGATCATGCCGATATTCGTCCGTATCATACGTCATAGCCTCTGCCTGGACTTCCTCCCTACCCTCGCAACCTCCCATTCCCGCTTGCAGATCAACGGATATTAGACTTATGGTGGAGGACAATCGTGCACTTAGCAACGTGAAAGCGCATGCTCATCAACTATTCTGATGAGAACTGTATTCGTTTTGCTGGTGAGGTTACCTTAATCTCTATGCGTTGGTATTCGTTTCCCTGTTGAGGTATGCATTTTTCCTATGCGATGGTATTTGTTTCGCAGGTGCGGTATGCACTTGTTTCGGCGCGTAGGTATTCGTTTCGCTGGTGAGGAATACGCTTTTCTATGCGATGGTATTCGTTTCGCTGGCGATGTATGCATCTTTTTTTCTGCGCGCTGGTATTCGTTTCGCTGGTGTGGTATACCATTTTTTTTCAGCGCGATGGTATTCGTTTTGCTTGTGTGGTATACATTTGTATCCATGCGATGGTATTCGTGTCACTGGTGAGGTATGCCTTTTTTTACTACGCGATGTGTTGGCCGACGTGTCTGGTCACGCCCTGCGTCATAGCTAAACGTTGCGTTAACATACGTCGGATCTAATTCTAATATACACTGATGACTTGCTCCCATCCCCTTCCTCTCCTCCCCCCAACCCCCAACATCCCATAATACACTGCAGCCCGACGTCTTGTTTGGTGCTAGTAACCATCGTCGCAAAAGCAGCCGCGACTGGCTTGGCGACTGACATTTCTAACCTATTTTCATACCTACTCGTGCAGGCTTTCTCAAGATCCATCTGTTGCGACTAAAGTTATCGCAACAGCATCAGGTATGCGGTTTACAAGTCATTTGCCCCCATATGACACAATGTCAGTAGGATGCGTTACAGCAAGTTGTGTTTGCATGTTTTGCAGGGCCAACATGCTAACGCAGTTCTATCGTCAGCCATAATCGCAAGATGCCAATTTTTCACCATTGAACACACTCCATCATTATTAACCCCAATGGTGAGTGGTGGAATGGCAGACTTGATATGCTTTTACAAGTGTTTTTGTCTCTTTGTTTTTGCAGGTTATATCCATATTCTAATTAGCAGAGCTCACACATCTCCACAACTGTGCATTATTCGTAGTAATTCTAGTGTAGTTGTAGTTTCCATGCCTTGTAAGAAAAACCTTGTATACTGATTCTTATTTGTGCTTGAAAACGCATACTCATAAATGCATACTGATTGAGCTTCAATCGAAAATGTCTCGGTTTCAATTGCCAGCCAATAATTTTTTGATATTGCACGCCTAAAAATGATGTCTGGTTGGTCCACATGGCAAGTTGACGTCCGTCGATCTACATCTGATCTGACGATTGTCATTAGCGTACATTGACAGCCACGTCAGCATGTCGCAGTTTCATCTCGAGTACGTAATATGCCACGTGGCGTACTCGTGAAATCTTCGCAGTGGTTGCTCGGAAGTGACTTTCCGCAACTTCGAGGTTGATTTACCGCATACCGGGTTAGTTGCGTCAATGTATGCAGTTACTGCTAGTAAAGTGACGAAAACGTTGCTCAACAAGTCACCCTTGACTTTTTTCTTGCGTTTTTGAAGTAACCCTAGAGTTGCGTTTTCTTTACTTTTCAGTTGCTTTTTGCGTTTGCCTTTTCCGTGATGCCGCCAAGGACGTCGTCGATGCGGGGCGCCCCGTGAGCGTGCGCGTGACGGGCGGCGGGCAGCAGGTGGTGCTGCAAGACGTGATTCCGAGCGGATGGAGCGCCGGGACGACCTACGAGAGTGGCACTAACTTCTAGAGGAGAGTCGCCGCGAGATGGGCGTATAGGTGCAACACTTGCTGCTAGAAACGGGACGTCCTGTAACGAGGTGGTGCGGCGCAGGAGGGTGCTTGCAAATAATGCTGCCACCGTGGCATGGTGGTGTGCACAGCAGTGAATTGAGAGGAAGCAGATTCGAGGTAAGGATTCTGGGGGAAAGAAGGTTGAGAGGAAGCGTGTTGGGAGGAAACAGGTTGGAAAGCAGGATGGGAGAAGTAGGTTGGGAGGAAGCAGGTTGGGAGAAAGGGGGTTGGGAGGAAGCAGGTTGGGAGAAAGGGGGTTGGGAGGAAGCAGGTTGGGAGAAAGGGGGTTGGGAGGAAGCAGGTTTGAAGGAAGCATCTTGAGAGAAAGCAGGTTGGGGGGAAGCAGGTTGGGAGGAATTTGGTTGGGGGGAAACTGGTTGGGGCGAAGAAAAACACCCTACAGACAAGGTTGGCAGCGACACCTCCCTCGTACCCTGCTACCGAAACCAATGCCAAGTATGATATGCGTGGTTATCTCAGAGCTTGATATTGCTGAGATTACCAAGCCAATGCAACACATGGCAGGGAGTCTCACCTTTCGCCGGAAGTCGTTAGTTGCACGCGGCCTCGCTTTTGAGATTTCATAAAGCCGATGCGACACACGGCAGGGCGTCTCACCTCTCGCCGGAAGTCGTTGGTGAGCACGCGGGCTCGCTTCACAGCCCACACCTCCTTGGGGTTCCGCGGATTCACCCCCCTGTACACATCGCCAAAGCTGCCACTGCCAATGCGGTTGCTCTCTGCCCACTCCCCTGTCGCTCGAGCCATCTCTTGCAGAGTGAATCGCTGGCACACGTCTAGCCCAGCACCCCCTGCAGCACAAAGCAGTGGCTGCACTGCTGGCGCTGGTGGAGCTGCTGGAAATGCCACTGCAGCAGCTGCGGCAGCTGCAGCGGCTGCTGCTTCTTCTGCTGCCCCCACTGCTGCTGGTGTTGCTGAGCGCCCTGCTTGGCACGATGATTTGCTTGATCGTCCCTTTATCCCTGCTTGAGCCACCTCTAATGCCGCCGCCGCCGCTGCTGCTGCGGGTGCTTCTTTTGCTGCCATTGCTGACGCAGAAGGTATGTCAACAACCACTTGCCCTAGGACCACTCCAGCTCCTGCTGCTGCCACAGCTGGCGGTGCTGCTGCCACTGCTGGTCGTGGTGGTCGTGGTGCTGGTGCTGCTGCTACTGCTGGTCGTGGCGGTCGTGGTGCTGGTGCTGCTGCCACTGCTGGTCGTGCTCGTGGTGCTGGTGCAGCTGCTACGACTGCTACTACCGCTGGTGCTGCCGTTCCATTAAATGCCCCGGTCAACCTTTTAGGTACCTGTGCCGCAGTGGGTGATGTGATTATTTTTGGAGGCGGCTTGACCGGTGGCGGTGCGACACGTGGCAAACGATAATTGTTGGATGGTGGTGTGAACTTGGAGGGTTTGCCTGCAGAAGCTGCAGGCATCGGTCCTGGGACCACGTGACCACCCTTGCTTGAAAGGTCAAAGAAACCCACCAAGCCAGCCCATTTTTTTTTTAGAGTGTCGGAAAAAACGGCCAGCAAAAGCAACAGGAGGGCGGCACCAGCTACATACCCTGACACAATGGCTATGACTTTGTCCATGTACATTTTGAGATACACTGCTTCTAGCGGGGTTTTTGTTGCCTCTGGGCAGATGGAACCACTAGTAATGGTATTCTGTGCCGAGGAAGTTCCTGTCACCAGGCGGATGAAACGCTTGGGGTATCTGACTATGCGTCAAGGTGTCGTGTGACCAGACGTCCTGTATTGATGAATCGGTGGGGGAATAGGGCATCGCTGCTGCTATAACAAACAAAGGAGACGTGGAATGACAAGTGGAGGCGTCTGGTAAGCAAATAATACACAGTGGAATCTGCGAGCATAGATCAGAGGGTCTCGAAGAGGCGTGTTTACTGTATGAATCTATCATCCAGGTTTCGCGTTTGAACTACCTTCGAAGTTACTATCTGCGCTCTCCTTTCAGTTCGAAAGGCTCTTAGAATCGTTGAAAGAGGCATGTCCGAAACGAAAAATCGAAGCACAGAAGGCTCCAGAATTACTTCGCGGCTAAATAAGCGAGCAATAGATGAATAGTAACTACGGTGTAGAGCGCTTGTCAGCTACGACTACCAGTAAGGAGAAAAGATCAAGAATTTGAGTGACATTCAATCATGAAGTATGGATGCACAAACCCGGATGAGAAGGAGGAGCAAGGTGAGGGAGTGAGCGAAATGGCGACACTGGGAAAACAGTTTCGCGAACGTAAAACCTCATGTTCACGAATTAAAGAGCAACAAGTTACCAGGCTAGTCGGCTCGCTCGCTACTCATTGTGCTTCGGTGCTGAATTGGTTTGGACGATCGGGCAGTTATTGCGAAGCCAGCTGCTGGCAAGAACTGGTGGAGACTCGATGTGGATGAGGTGGCATGATGACGACGACGTTGGAATGCAGGGGACGAGTTTGACAGTGAGCGTACAGTTTTCGCGACCTAGATTGACTACTAAAGATGGATTACTCGAGAAAGAGGATGTGTACAGTTTTCTTCTGAAAGCCTAGTTCACCTAAACGGTGCCTCAGCTAGAAAATGTATTTGTTACGGGTGCAATGGATCGAAGTAGCGATAATTGCACTAAGGTGTCAAACGAGTACAAAATGTGAGCGAAGGCATGAGCAAACATTTATACGCGAAACATGCAAACGGTAACGCGGTGCGTGCGAGCTAGCTAGTGCTGCACTGGAAGCGAGGCTCGGGCTAGTCCCGAAGCGTAGGCCGACACGGCCGGTCCAGCAGTGCGAGGTTTGGTAAAGCAGTGCGCGCGAAGTCGGCGAAGCCCCGTTAGCAGTAACGGGCGAACAACGGCTGCTGCTGTACGCGGTGTTGCAGGGTGCGCTACGGAATATCGAGAAAATTCCTTACACTACCCCCCCCCCCCCTCAAGAAGCCCCCTCCGCTACGCGAGTGCGTGTATATCGCGGAAACCCCGGCTCCTCAGGTACACTTGCAGGGCAGGGTGGTTTTCGATGTTGGCCAGGGGCACCCAGCTATCTTCAGTTGGCGTGCGGTCCTTCCAGCGAACGAGGAATTCAATCCTCCTGATTCCCGTGGGGTGTCGAATCCGATGGCTCAGGATTTTTTCGGGCTCGATGATCGGTTCCGATGCAGGGCGAGTCATGGATGGCGGGAGGTGACGAGGCAGTTGGCTTGTGGTTGGGATGTATGGGCGAAGCAGGCTGACGTGGAATGAAGGGCTGATGTACCAGTCCGTCGGCAACAGTAGGTGGGCTGTCACTGGGGTAATCATGTGGCTGATTTGGAATGGTCCACAGTAGCGGGGTCGTAATTTCGGTACGACGGGCAGTCTTAAGTTCAGTGTGTCGAGCAGTACGTAGTCTCCTGACTGGTACGTGACTGGGCGGTGGTGGCGGTCAGTGTTGCGCTTAGCGATGACATTGGCTTTTTTAATTGCTTCTGCGGCTCTGGTGCGGGCAGCTTGCAGAATTTCGGCGAATTGTTGTGCACGTGGCGTTGGGTTGTCCGGACTCGGCATCATGGGCACTGAAGGGTTTTGCCCGTAGTTCAGGTAGAAGGGGGACTGCTGCATCGTCGCTGACGTGGCGTTGTTGTACGCGAACTCGATCAGCGGCAGCTGTTGCTCCCAAGTGGTCGGGTCGTCGCACGTGGCACAAATCAACTGCTCCATCGTCTGATTCTTCCGCTCCGTTTGACCGTCGGTCTCGGGGTGGTACGACAAGCTGAACTGTAGCCTTGTCCCGAACTGCTCCCAGAGGTTTTTCCAGAAGTTGCTGGTGAACTTCGTGTCGCGGTCGCTGATTATCGCGGCTGGTATCCCGTGCAGTCGAACAACGGCTGCGATGAACAGGCGAGCGGTTTCTTCGGCTGAGATCGATTTCTTGCACGCAGCGAAGTGTGTCATCTTCGTCAACCTGTCAACGACGACCATAACTGCGTCGTTACCCCCAAGGGTTCGAAGGTAACCCCGTGACGAAATCCATGGTAACCTGCTGCCAGGCACGCTCAGGCGGTGGAATCGGCTGCAACTGGCCCGCCTTTCTTTTTCGCGAGCTCTTCATCACCTGACACGTAGGACACGAGCCCACGTGGTGCTATACATCGGTCAACAGCTCCGGCCAGTAGTAATACCGCTGCAGTTGGTGTCGCGTTTTTTCTACCCCGAAATGTCCCGAGGTAATCCCGTCGTGTGCTTCCTGTACTAACAGTTCCCTCAGTAGTGAGTACGCGGGTACCCAGATGCGGTTGGTGCCTGTTTTTACGTAATAGACGCCTTTGGCCTCTGCCAGTTGCTGTGAACTTCCGGTCGTGAAAAACGGTTCCGTACTGTATCCGTGGGTGAATAGGCCTGTTAACAGTGGATTGGTTTGGGCGAGTAGGATGGCGTGGAGTTGGGCGGTGGGGCGTGTGAGTGCGTCAGCGATGTTGGATGCGCCTTTTTTGTACGTGACTGTGTAGTGGAAGTTGGACTCCAGATAGTCCAACCAGCGGATCTGTCGTGGGTTGAACGCGTGCACGATCGCCAACATCTCGCGGTCGTGTATCAGGTAGTTGCGTTCAGGCGGGTGAAGTTTGCGCCTGGAGGCCGTTCCCGAAGTCCTGCAATAGTACTGCTCCCACAGCGATGTCGCTAGCGTCGGTGACGAGCTCGAACGGACGGTGCGGATCTGCGATGTTAAGTACGGGCGGCGAGCACAAAATATTTTTGAGGGCCGAGAAGGCAGCTTGCTCTTTCTCCCCCCACGTGTACTCAACCCCCTTCCTCAGCAGGTCGGTCAACGGGGCAGTCAGCTTCGCCATGTCGGGGACGAACCGGCGCACGTAGTTGACAAACCCCAGAAAACTCTGCAACTCGGTCAAGTTGGTCAGTGCGTGCCATGCTTGAATCATCGCGTTTTTTTTCGGGTCTATTTCCACTCCTGCAGCTGAA